TGCTTCACTGGCCCAACTTGGCACCATCATTGCGCTCTTCCCGGGCGAGGCAGATCAGTCGCCGGCTTCTGGACGGCCACTCACAGCAGCTGCTGGCCACTCACGCTGGCTGCTGGCTGCTGGCTACACACGGTAGCCCATGGCAACCCATTGCAGCAAGGGCTGCAGCCTACACCGTTGCTGGCGACTCACGGCAGCCCAGCTCCAGGTCAAGCTGTTGTTCAGCATCTTAGCTATAGAGGGCAGTGTCACTAGCCCTCATATGTGGGATCTGAAATGGGGTCCTCTGGCGTCCCAAGCCAGCTCTTAACCATCGCGCCACTCGGCCGGCCCTGTATATTATTTTTGAAGAAAGTGCAGTGTGCTAGAACAATGTCATTTTGTGGGGGATCTGCAACCAGTGTTTAGAGCAGAAACCTTATAACCAGTTTAACTTTTTGATGGAATAATGCATATTTCTGGTAATGTATATGCTCTGATAAGATGAATTAATATTTAACTTCTTGTTCTCTGTCTAACCAGGGTCATTGGTTTCCTGGAAGCAATTGTTTGCATAAAATTTGGACAAGATCTCTTCTCTAAGACCCAAATACTCTATGTTATACTTTGGCTTCTTTGTGTGGTAAGTCATTACTTTTTCACCCAAAGGGTTAGCTAAATTTCCCATGGTGTTTAAAGACAAAAACAAAACAAAACTCTTTTGTACCAAGGTTCATTACAAAATCATATTTGTAATAACCTGAGATTGGTCTCTACTCTGAAGTTCAAGAATAAATACATAGGACCACATTGCATCCAGAATGGGTCAGAGGTGCACAGTACCCACATTTATTTCACTTAACAGGAATTCATCTGCCCATATGAAAAATTTCAGGCCTGCCATGAAGCGAAAAGGACAATTACAGTGCTCCATAACATACATGTTACTGTATGAGCATTTATGTGCTAAATGACGGACTATAGTTTATAGGCCACATGAGATGTTTTTGAAGGTAATCAGACTGTGCAGTTTCTGCCCCACCAGCCAACTTTCTAGGCCAAGCCTGGGTAGGGGGAGCTCCCTCTCTGAAGGGCAGAGCCCTGGGGCCTCCAGCTCCGTTGTCTTGGGACGTTTTCCTCACCTTTAACATGGAGTAAGACCTTACCTAGCTTACACAGTCTGTGACTGCCCTTCTTAATTTAATTGTTTTATTATTTTAGAGAAAAGTCTTATTTTACATTTAAGCTTAGGATTCTTTGCTTACTTGGCCCAGAAAATTAATTTAGGCTTTCTTTATAATTATAGAAACTTCCAAACGTATTTGGAAGTAGATAGAGTAGGTGATCCCTTATGTACCCATTACCCATTTTCAACAATTAACAACTTGTAGCCAGTCTTGTTTCCTTATATTTCCTACTCACTGTCTTTACCCAAATTATTTTGAAGCAAATGTGTCTGTAATATTTTGGGATATAGCTCTAAAAGAAGACAAGAGTGCTTTATTTTAACTTAATGCAACCATCATTTATTATCACATCTGAAAAAGAATTGACAATAATTCCTTAATGTTATCAAACATCTAATCAATGTTCCAATTACTAACAGTTTCTTAAATTTTGTATTTTTTAATAGTTTACTTAAATCAATACCCACTTTTTGCAATTGTTGGCATGCCTTTTAAGTATCTTTTAATCTATACTATCCTTTTGTCTCTAGCTTTCTCCCCTTCTCAGTTTATTTGTTGAAGAAATCAGCTCTTTTGTCCTGTAGATTTTCCCACAGTCCGGATTTTACTGATTTCATCCTATACTGTAATTTAACAGATTTCTTTGTCCTGTGTATTTTCTGTAAATTGGTAGCTGGATCTAGAGGCTTAATCAGATTCAGGTCTAATTTTTTTTTTCTTTTAGCAACACTAAACTTTGTATTTTTAAAGTGTTTTTTATTGCCTTTCACAATGCCTACTTGTTATTGTTAGATATTCTAACTGTAGCAGGGCATCTTGAGCCTTTTCTGTCCTGTTTTATCTTGAACAATAAAAGGGAATAATGATTTCCTTTGTATTTAAACTCCAGATTTAATGCTTAAATGTTTTTTGGGGTTTTTTTTTGTCGTGGTGAGACTAGATGTAAGGGTTGTTTAGGGGAATATGTCAGATGTTCCTGGAGATTTTAACCGACTGCTTCTCACATTGGTATCTGGCATGTGCCCCTCAGGTATGTGAACTGTAGTTTTGCCTACTGCCCTCACCTCATGCCAGAGGGGACACAAAGAGGTGGAGGCAGGTGGGACTACTGGGACATGGGCAGGTGCCCTTCTCACAACAGCCCGTTGCAGGCTCCCAGCCTCCTGGGCACAGCTTCCACCTAGGCCATCAGTGGCCAGAACAGCCTTTTTAAGGCCATGTCCAAGAAGCCTTCTCTCGTCATCCCAATTTGCAGGGACACAGCCAGTCTCTCTTTAAGTTTTAGAGACTTTTTGTTTTCCTTATTTGACACCTAGCATATGCCTTCTTAAGTTGGTGATTTTTTATTTGCCTTTGTATGTGTGTGATTATAACCTCACTGAGGACATGAACCACACTTTGTCCTCCCATCAGTCTCTCCTTCACTCAGCAAGGTCCTTTGTACATCTGTTATTCCTTCACGCAACATTTTCTGAGTGCTCTTCAAAGCTACACCTGATACTGCACCCCCGCTACAGATAGATGATGGTGATAAGATTTATTAATACTTACCGTGTGCCAGACACTGTTCTAAGCCCTTCTCATTAATTGTACATTTGATCTTTACACTTTGCAGGGAGGTACTTGATTACCCTACTTTTATCGATGAATAAATAAAGGCACAGAGAGGTTCGTTAACTTTACCCTGTTACACGGAGAGTCAGTGGCAGAGGCAGGGCTCAAACCCAAATAGTCTGGCTAGAGAGCTGCTCCTCCTCCAAGGGTCTCCACATCTAGATGGGAATTACACATGCAAAAGAACGATGTTAATATGTGATAAGGATTAAGGATGTGTACGTAGAGCTGAAGGAGCACTAGACAGAGCACCAGATGAGATGGGGAATTGGTGAGGGCGCCCTGGAGGTTATGTGTGAGAAGGACTTTGATCCTTCACAGTGAATGGCTCTCCCATCCTTCAGGTGCCCCAGCTAAACACCTGGGAGGCTGCTTCCTGTCCTCTGTCACTCTTCAAATCAGCGGGCCACTAGGTTTTAGTCATTTAGACATTTAGCCCAACTTCACCGTCTTCTCCATTCCCACTGCCTTTGCAGATCCACTCTCTACACTGCTACCAAAGCGATCTGCCAGGATTCAGATCTGAATCTCTTTTCCCTGCTCAGAATCATTCCCTCATTGCTGGCTTGAGAGAGCCCAATAATACAATATTTTTTCCCCCGCTGAAGTTCCGAGTAATTAAGATAGGAAGGGTGGGAGGCGCTTCTGGAGATCAGAACAGCATCTTTATTACTGAGAATCCACATTGTTCAATACCAGCTTTAGATGCATGACAATGCGTAGCTTCTGAATAGCGATCCCCGCATTTGACACAGTCTCCAGCCCCAGGAAGCAGGCCTCCCCACATTGCGCTGGTGGCCCAACACCTGGACGGAAAGACAGAAAAGGCCCAGCTTCCTGTTTTCAGATTCACCAGTCAGATGGCTCCTCCCTCGGGAAGGAGTGAGAGGTGGGGAGAGGCTGGAGGATGATACCAGCAAAGCTCCCTGCCTGTAGAAAGAAATACCAAGGAGGAAGAAGAATTCCCCACCCCAAAACCTACCCACTGAAATAGGAAAGCGCGTGTGCGTGGTTAGGTCCACTGTTATCTGGGTCATTCATCATACCCATCCATGTGGACTCTACTCGGCTACCTCAAACCCCTGAGTCACCTCAATGAGTCATCCTTCCAGACTTCTCTTGCTGTCACCCATGATGCTTCTTTTACCTCATCTGAATGCTTTCTCCTCTTCCTCTACCTACTGAATCTTATGCCAAGACCAGACTTAAATTCATGCCCTCAATGACCTGCAAGGCAGACTACTAGGGACCAGCCGTACTTTGTACATTCTAAGTTGAGTGTAGTGTAATCTGTGGTGTTTCTATCTGCCTCCTCAACATTACATTTTTGCTCACAAAGAGTAAGTTTTCATTGTCCTTTTGTCCCCACTGACTCTAGCACAGCACCTGATACATAGGAAACACCCCACAAACACATGGAAAATAAAGGAATGAGTTCAAGAGACAGAGACCAGGAGATGCACAGGCAGGGCGAGGAACACACATGTGCAAAGACACGAAGCTGTGCCAGTGCCCAGCGTTCCCAGGAAGATGGTTCCACGTTTGGGGAGCTAGAGTGAGGAGAGTGAGTTGGAGGAGGAGAGAATAGGGGACGTCTGTACTTGGTGAGATCCCAAGAAGATTTTTCAGTGGGAAGCACTGTGGGTGGGGGGAGAGTCTAAAGGGAAGAGGGATTGGAGTTCAGTCTGAGGGCGTTGTAGTGACAAATGACTGACGCTAAACCAAGGCAGTGGCCTCCAAGATGCAGAGGAAAGGCTGGATTTGAGAGCTTGTTCAAGAGGTCAGTCCCACAGGATGCCATCCCCTGCGAGAGCTGGGAAGGCACTTGAGCATGAGTCCAGGGTGTCTAGTTTGTGCCCTTGAATGACTCTTGGGGCTGGTAACAGAATGGGGGATATCAGAAGCCCCATGCAAGGAGATGAATTTGGTTTGGGGCATTGAGGTTTGAGGGACCCTTAGAACTTACAGATGGAGGTGTTCTATATCATTGGAAATTCTAGTCTGTCCAGTAACACTGAATAGACTCGGTTGGCAGTGGAGATGAAAGAGTTGGTGCCATGGGTGTGTCGGGCATTGCTAGAGCCATTGGATTAGTCTGGGGACAGCGTTGGGAAGAGAAGCTGGCTGAGAATGGAATTCTGCACAGTAGCCATGTAGAGGCCAGGCCGGGCTGCAAAACAGAGCAAGCAGGGCTTTGAAGACAAGCAGAATCCCCCAGTTGGTGTTACCAGTGACGAGTGCCATGGAGGGGGACCTGGCCCAAAATGAGGCCGTTGGCTGGGATGAAGAGGGGCCCCCACTGCCTTGCACACTTACCAGTTAAAGAAGAATACAAACAAGGTGCTGGTGCCTTTTCACATCTGTGGCCTTTATTAAAGATGAAGATTGACCTCAAACTCAGGAGTGAGGTGGACATCATTCAGTAAGGGAGCGTTAAGCTACACCATGCCTCCCCCACTACTACACCACTACTCAGAGACAAATCCCCTGAATATTCTCTTGGCTCAGTAGGAGAACATATCCAGACCTTGAGATTATTGCATGTGTAAAGATCCGCATGCTAGTTCATCAGCTTCTCCACCCGCAGTTGTCTGATCAGACTTGGTCAGTTTGAATTCTCAGCATCATGATGTGGGAGCCAAGCCGGTTTTCCCCGCTCGTTGCCAACACACCCATGTTTGTGTGCCGCCTTGGTTCTCATCCCACATACTTCCCTACACTTTCTTTTTTTCTTCCCCCTTTTTAAACACAATCTGTACAATTGCTATTTTAAATCCAGGCCTTGACATTTTAAACGGATACCTGCCTAGATCTCCACAGGTGCGATTGCAAACCCCAATTACAAGCTTTTGTCTCCTGGGACAAGTGTGAAATGGATCTTTTGTACCCAGGTGAAGTGGTAGATTTGGCAGCCACAGCAGGTCCTTTGTGTGGTGGTTGTCATGCTAAGTTCACGCTTCCAGTGTCTTCAGTGTTGCCCTGTCCCCTCCTGTCCCCTGCAGAGCTGTCTACCTGGCTGCCCTGGCCTGCCCTCCCAGGGGTGGAGCTGGAGAAGGATTAGAGGAAAAGCCCCACTCGCCTGCCCTCTAGTGGGCAGAATTCACAATGACCGCCATCCCAGCCTTCACTGCTCCAGGGTCTAGTGGAGTGACAGCTCTGGCCAGCTTACCCACCCGCACTGCACAGCCACTGACTGGCCAGAGGAGGTGGAACCCATCCTCCCAACATCCCTGTCCTGTGAAACCTATAATGGCCTGTTTTGCTCTTTGTAAAGGACCTAACACATTTATAGTAATACCTTGGTTTGCGAGCATAATTTGTTCTGGAAACAAACTACTCGTATTGCAAGACATCGCTTGTTTACCACGTTAAAATGTATTAGAAATGTTTGCTCATCTTGTGGAACACTCGCAAACCAAGTTACTCCCAGTCCAAGGTTTTACTGTATAGGCTAACACGCTGCAAATTCTCTAGTCTTTCCCACTCTTTCCATGCTGTGAAAAGGGTGCATTTAGTCAGTAGTGTACGTTAGAAATCTGAGCATGTACCGAGTATGGTAAAGGTTAGAAGTAGTTTTTATAAAATGAAATCTGAGCATGTACCGAGTATGGTAAAGGTTAGAAGTAGTTTTCATTTTACAATTTTAATATATTCATTGCCTAATTTTTTGGTAGCGGGTATGTATGTGAGCTTCTTTTTCTTTAAATCCTTAATCTATAGATGGATGCCAGTTTGTATATGGACTTTCTATCAAATAAACTAGTGATCCTCTGTTTCATGTTATCTCTCCACCGTGCTGCTATTCTGACTTCATTGACATGGAAGGCCAGCGGGAGCACCGGGACTCTTCTTTTTTGACACTTAAGATGATGCTGTGCCCCAGCAGACATTTTGTAAATATCGTTGACTTAAAGGAACGAGGCCAGAACTAGACTGCCAGCCATGGTGCTGAGAATTCCTAGCCCAGTCTTCCCTGCAGCCATGGTGCCACGCTGCAGACCGGGGGCCATGCAGAGCAGATGAGCCTACTGGCTGTTCCCATGATGCTTTTCTTTCTTCAGGGCTGAATGAGTAGATGGATGAATGGATAGAGATGTGAAAACATGGAGACATAAAGTCAGTATTATCTCGATAGCCATCCCTAAACCTTGTGTCCAGGGACATCAAGAGACCTGTGTCCTGATTCCAGTTTTGCCACATACTAGCTGTGTGCCCTTGACGGGGCTATTTTCATTCCTGGGAAATGGAGGGAGTTGAAATTAATGACCTCTGTGGTGACCTGTTTCGATCTAAAGTTAGGATTCTTAGAAAGAATGAGAATTATTCCCTCAAGAAGAGATGGCTCCACTGCGATTTCACACCTCTTCCCCACGGTTGAGGCAAGGTGATAGGCCCGCGACAGGAAACGCAGTGCGAGAGGTGGCGATTAGACAGTGAGGATGGTGTGGGATAAGGAGGTTCCTAAAGCAAGGCATTCTGAAGAACTCAGCCGTTTTGTTTTGGATGATTCCCCGACAGCCAAGAAGGTACGGCCTAGCTGCAGGACCCAGCCACGAGTCACCTGTCCTCGCTTCTGTCACACGCTCTCCCTCTCTTCTTTACTACGCAGTGTAGGCCTAACCCTAATCCAGCCCGGAACTTTTCCCCTGACACACGATTAGACTTTGGGTTCTTGTAGAGGCTGCTCTTCCCTCAAATTCGAGTACATTTTAGGGTACGATGCAGGGCGAGCAGGGATGCTGGGGGGAAGTAGAGGTTATCCCTCCTGGGTCACCGTGGACCACGCGCTTCTCGTTTTACTCAGGGACTTACCCAGCATTTTTATTTTCTCCTTATTTTCCTGTCAACTTAACCAAGAAAAACAAAAGCAGGCAGGTCAGAGTGGGGCCACCAAGGCTAAAAATCAGTAAAATAGTGCGAAATCAGGGGCAGTGTCCTGATGTGTTCTGCCACTGACATAGTAGATATTTGTCCTAAATGCCCTCCAGCCCCACTGTGACTCAGACTGAGTGAACCTGCTTTTTCATTCAGAAATCCTCTTCCCCACAGAAGCTGACAAACTGTCCTTATACCTCTTCCGAGTGATGGGGGAAGACGATGGACCATGAAACCAGAACTATAGTAGAGAATCCCTTACGTCCTCTTGAGCAAAGCCTTTCCGAAAACGCATCCCACTTGTCTCACATCTAAACATGGTCTTGCATTCTGATAATAGAATGACAAGCAGTGACAGTGGTCTCATCGACTCTTCTTGTTAAAAGCTTTGGGGATGCTCCCCCAACTCATCCACCACATCCAACCATTTTGTAACCGGCATTCTAGGAGAGATGGCACAAATGCATCGAGCCATCTTATATGAAGTCCCATTGAAACCCTGAAGTTCTGGGAAATGGAATTGGTGCAACATCTTTTTAAAAATGTGCTTGTTTTTCTCTTGCAGGCTTTCACCACCTTCCTGTGTCTGTATGGCATGGTGTGGTATGCAGATCACTATGGTCACCGAGAAAAGGTATAAGAGGGAAGGCAGAGATGGCCTTTATTTAAAGTAATCACTTCCAGCTTGGATCTTTAGCCCAGAGCGTATTTGCTTGAGGATATGGTGTGGCCCGTGCGAGAGTGGGCTTCAAACTTAACCATTTCAGAATTCAGTCCCTATCCATGGCTGTCCATGCTTGTGACTGCCCTGTTCAGTAGGTCACTATATTTATCCTCCTTTTTTAAGGGGTTTAAAACTTAAGTATTTGTTTAAAATAAAACTTGTGGGGAGAGCGAGCCCTGGACCAGTTTTTGGAAGGATGGGTCTTATTCTTGGCCCTTCCACTTTGTGCAGACCTCTTCCTGTGCCCTACCCAGCCTGGGGCCCCCATCGAAAAATGCCTGCCCTGCCCACTTCATAGTGGATACGAGTATTAAAGTAAAGAATAGATGTTTGCAGGCTTAAAATGCTATAGCAGTCTTGTCCACTGTATTTTTTTAAGTAAAAAGAACAGCTTTCGTTCATGATTCCTTTTAGATCTAAAGATCTAAAGTGCTTTCTAAAAGACTTATTCGGCATCACCTGGGAGATAGCTTTGGTTTCATAGCTGAGAAACATGAACATGTGGAGGTACTGTGGAGGTACTGTCACTTGGTGTTGATCCCCAGACTGGGAGGGACAGGACAGAGCATCTCCCTTATTTGCCTGCTACCCCTCCTGGGGAGTACTTGCAATTCTGTCACTAAGCCTGCCTCTCTCCCTAGACCTACTCAGAGTGTGAAGACGGCACCTACAGTCCAGATATCTCCTGGCCTCACAGGAAAGGTACAAAAGGTATCTCTTTCTTATTTATTGTTTAAAACTTGACTGGGTCTGCTCCCTTCTGAGGCCCAGTAAGGAGATTTAGAATCAGTATTCTCCTCTGTATGTTGATAAATGTATGTTCTGAAGGGTCTCAAACCTACTCATTGCATGGCTCCTGTTATTATTAAGAAAAATGCAAAGTGCTTGCAGAATCTGCCCAAGAAACTTGCTTCATAAGAAGAGGTGCCATGTAGTTCTGCCTTTTCTGACACAGGAAGACATAAGAAGGTCCACATGTCTCAAGCACCCCGATGGCAGTGTTCTCCCTCTTGGCTTTTATCATGAGTGAAAGGGGTTAGGAAGAATTGTGTACCGAGAGGAAAAGCCTTTCAAAGAGGTGGATCAATTTAATCATGGTTATTCAAGAGGTAGAGTGTAAGAGGGATTTTAATAGTGTAGTCAGGAATTTCCACTGACCTCTCTTCAAGGAGGAGCATTTTAGAAAGATTTGGGGCCACCTGGTTATTTTAAAGAATTGGGCACATGGAATAATGACACCGAGAAGGCTCCACTGGACAGCAGTTTCTTGCCAATTCTTATTCTTATGAGCTGATTGGAAGGCTTGACTAACGGGAGAGAATTATGAATGCTAGAGACCATGGATTTTAGCTCACAGGATTGTTCAGAACAGTGGGCCTAAGGAGAGGAAAGCGCTACTGTCATAATTGCTCTCCTGTGTTCTTTTAGGGTCAAGCTTCTTAGAGCTCTCCCTGGGAAAACAGCAGTGTACACTCTGCTGAGTTGCCACTCACCCTTTTTGGGGTGGTCTCTCCTAAGTCAAGGAGTCGATCAGCAATCTGTTTTGGAATGCTGATAGAAGTGGGCAGAGAAGTTCCCCAAAGGTCCCTGATTCACAACCATCCCCTTATAGATCAGTCCTTGACACTTCTGGGCACTTCTCCATTGAAAAGACTAAAAGAAGTAAGCAGTGGTAAAGATATATTTCAATGAAAGGTACATAGACTAGTAAAAAACACAAAAAAAGAAAGAAAAAATTTTCAGAGAGGTACAAGAATCTCTTAATGGACTAAGCCAAATGCCACTTACAATGGAGACCAAGACCAGCATGGTAACTACAGTTAGTAACACTATGGTGCATTTTTGAAAGTTGCTAAGGGAGTAGATCCTTTTTTAAAAAAAGAAATTTTACTGGGGAACAGTGTGTTTTTCCAGGACCCATCAGCTCCTGAAGTCAAGTAGTTGTCTTCAATCTAGTTGTGGAAGGTGCAGCTCCTTGGCCCATGTGAGAATCAAACCAGCAACTTTGGTGTTGTGAGCCTGCGCTCTAACCACCTGAGCTAAGCGGCCGCCCTTCTGAGAACTTTTTCTAGTGGCTGTCTTGGGTGGAGATTTCCTAGGTGGCTGGGGCTGGATCTGAGCCCTGTCAGACAACCCCTTGGCTTGGCTGCTGGGCAAAGGGTTGGCCGTGTACTTACACTAAGAGCAGAGCAAACCCAAGCCTTCCACACCTTTATCTGGAATGGCCACCCATCCCCCAGCGCCCCTGGCCCCGCCCTCCACCTGGCCAATGCCTGCTGATGGCTCTTTTTCTGAGCATGTAGACGTCTTTTTCTGAGCTCCCAAACAAATAAGATAGTGTGACAAATGACGTCCCTGTAGACTGAACGTCTTGAAGGCATGTGGTGTCTTCACTGCGTGACTCCTGCGCTCTGTCATGAGCAGCCAGGGCCTCCAGATCAAATGATAGAGGGCATGTGATATCTTTAATATTGTAGAGTCAAGAATCTTTTTCAATTTAGGGATTTGGAAACTTGGGTATGTAGCAGGCGAAGATTGGAAACTTAGGTAATGCATCCTTTGGTTGAGAGGGTAGAGTTGACACCCATGTGCTTTACGTTTTAATTGCCCCTCCTTCGTACTTTGATTTCATTTGTACACTCACTTCTGGTTCCCATCACCATGACCACGATCCACCCTACACAGTGTGAGTATAAAAATTCTTAAGGACCCCCACAGACACCTTGCTTAGGATGCCCAGGGACCGGCTGCTTGTCTTAATGTATTAACGAGGCCACTAGGTGGCGCGCGAGTATCAGTAAAGAGCCTGTCCTTCGGGGGTGGGCCTAGGACGGCTGGGCCAGAACTACAAATCTGAGCGAGCCCGGGACCCCTGCGCCCATGGTGACGGTGTGTTCTGATTCCTTTGCTCAGGTTCTGAAGACAGCCCACCCAAGCATCCAGGCAACAACGAAAGCCATTCTTCCAGAAGAAGGAATCGACATTCCAAGTCGAAAGTCACCAATGGAGTTGGAAAGAAATGAAAGACCCTGGTTAATCAAAGATGTTCCAGAGAGTGCCTAGAACTAAGAGGGAAACGGAATCATTTGGGCCTCCCTGCTAGGAGGTTAAAACATACAGTGCAAACGGGAAGAGGAGAGGGGACTTTCAGGGTGTCGTTATTTGAGGGTGTAAGTCTTGCTTCCCATAGACCTGGCCACATCAGGCAGACCACTGCCTGGGGCCCTTTGCCAACGTGGAGTCTGTTCTAACGTCAGCACTTGGCATGCGGTCACCAGTAGCAGTACAGTGTGTTCGAAGGAAAAGGTAGCTATTTACTCACAGTTGCCAAGAGCAGCTTTGTGCTTGTGTGTATTGTGGATACCTGTTAAACATCTTCATTCGGACACGACATTAACCGTACAGTTAATGTACTGGTCACCAGTTTTGGTTTTTTATGACTCTGCCTTTCCATTTGATTGGTTTACATTCTGGACACTTTCCTGTCTTTTGTTTCATTGTTGTTTTTTTGTTTTTAAGTTAGGGTGCTTAAAAGCCTTCAGAAGCCGCTGCTGAAATTGAATTGGGGAGGGCTACCCTCTCTTCTAGAAAAACAAAAGGGAGAGCTTTTGTGTTACTGATTAGCAAACCTCATACCCTTTTTAGGACCTTAAACCACACGGCGGATGTAAACCAGTCTGAGGAAAGGTTAGCTACCCATATAGGATCCTGGGCTTCAGATTAAAACCTTTTTTGGTACCATTCTGAATGTCACTGTCCAGGCTTATCCACACACAGTGCACAGACGTGAACCTGCTCGAGAGGCAGTGCACACCGCGGCTTCTGCCCCAGCCAGGTGCCTTTTACATTTTGTGTTCCTTCCATGGTGTGTTGCTGACATTGTCTTTTAATCCTATGTGAGGTGCTGGTGAGTATTACCTTTCATCCATGCCATGCTCTAGAATGTTTACCTGATAGTTTTATCACTTCTGATGGCTCCTTGTTTTAAATAAAACAATTCACATTAAAGCCCATCAAAGATCTGTCTGTAAAATGCTTATTTCTCTACATCTTATTGATATTTTCCACTGCTGGTAAGTAATCGCTGTACTTTTAAAGTGACTTTAGGGTAATATGAATGAATGTGTATGTGTTTTATATAGTGAGAAGGAAAAAAATATGTGTATTTTGGAGTGCTTACCAACACATATGTCCTATTTCCTAACCTTTCCAAGTGATCAGTAGGAAATGAACAAGACAGTCATCTTTTTTTTTAGTATAGTAATGGTTACATCAGCCTAGATGGTTACATCAACCATCCAGCAAGTGGCTGGTACCCAACTGATTGGCTTATAGATACAAACTTGCGGAAAGCAATTTTTTTGTTCGCTGATTTCACAGAGCACAAAAGTTTCGGTGTTTTTTTTTCTCCCTTTAAGGAAATGATTAACCATACAAATGTCATGTTTTTCTTTTTCTGCGAAAGAATTCCAGGGTGAAGGGGTTAAATGAATCATGCAAGCCAGGGTCACATCTGTGTTCTGGGCCTCTGGCAGTCACTTGGTTGAGAGCCTCACAGAGTTGTTCCAACAGCTGACGTGTTGCTAGTACAGAGGGATCAACAACCGTCGACTAGCACAGTGACTAAGGGAGCAGGCTGTGAGGGGCCGCAGCTCTGGGCTTTCACGTGCTGTGCAGCAGCAGCCCATCCTTCCCATGGAAGCACAGGACCCACTGTACTTATAACCCATCAAGGAGGCCTTTTGAAAACATAGGCACAGTGTAAACATTGTTACTTTGAAAGTAGGTAGGTTTGGTTTGTTTCTCCCTGCATTTTGCTTTTCTGAGTACTGAGTGCTTGTGTATCTCTTATACATGTCTGCCTCAACTCATGTCTCATGCCTGGGCCACATCTGTGTGTTTCCAAATTCATGTTTTGGGAGAGCTGGGCCTACCACTTGAACACCCTTCTGATGAATAGCTCAGCCCAAGTGGTGAAGCCTGGTCCCTTCCTCCCAGGCCAGAAGAGAGGGAGAGGGAGGCACCTATTGAGCATGTGCTGACTGATTTTCCTGTAGCATACAGAAAAAGCGAAGTGCACATGAGACGTTTTCCTCTGTGGCTTTGTAAGAAGTGGCCAGGAAAGTTCTCAGATACTTTCCATGCCCTTTTTTGGACTTGAGACTTTCTTTTTTCCCTTTCTTGACTACCGTGGTTACAAAACCAGCACTTTCCATGACTGGCCAGACCCACAGCTGCCTTTCCTCCTAAAAAACTATACTGCTGGGTTTGGCCTACTTTTCCCACCCGTTTCTATGGAAATGGACCTCACTTTGATAGAAATAGAATACATGTTTCAGAGTCCTCGTTTAATACTGGAAATCACTCGGTTGCAAATTATCCCACGTCCACCATTACAAACTGCCCTCTTAAAAGACACCATAATTAGGGGGGTTGTCACCTCGAGGGGTAAAAAGTATACTATTGCACTGTGTTGTACAGCTGAAACTAATTCTAAAAAATGTGTATTTCACAATAAAAAATTAAAAAAAAGACACCATAATTTTGGAGATAATACGCAAAGAACGATTTATGTATTTTTCTCCTTAAGTAGCATTGCAGTGAGTGTTAGATACGTTCCCCTTTTTGTTAGATACTTTCCCCTTTTTGTCATTCTTGGTCTTTCCATGGTCTCTCCTTGCTTTCCGTGTCTGTTTTCACCATTTGTAAAAGTCTTGCCCAAACGGCTTTCCCAGCGATGCTAGGACATTTCATTGACCCGTGAAGCATTTTGATGATAAAAGACATCCTGTAAATGCCAGTCTTATTCTCACTAGGACAGCTTCTACAGTGAGCTCGTGAGTAAAGTACTCATCCAGGAGAAATAAAATTCTTTACCAAATGCATCAGGTTCAGACCTATTGGTCTTCCCCCCAAAGCTGCTTAAGTGACACTTCTTGTCAAAGCTCAGTCTTTGGGTTGGACCCTATTGATTTATTTGTTTACAATAGTTCACTTGGTCAGGCCCGTACAGGAGATGTTGGACACAGAAAGGGAGGCCAGACGCAGGGTGGAGAAAAATATCTAACCATTGGAAACCAGACAGGTGACCACTTCAAACTTGGGATTTAACTTGTGTGCTCTTTAAATTCTGCTCGGTGACTACTGCGGAATCCCTGGGCCCACCATGGTGTCCATCAGGTGAGCTTCATGTATTGCTTTGTTATGAAAACTAGGAATCCCACAGGTGGTAGTCTATTGGCAATCTTCAATATATTTCCCATTTATATTATTGAAATCAAGATGTAAAGAGAACCAAAACTCCTGTTTATCAGTATTTCCTTGCAAATCCATCTCTTTATTTTTGTATGTGTGCATCTCAAAGGTTAGATGTGAGATTTGGTGCTTTGCAAGGGTCAGGATTAGTTATGGCTAAGACATACTCAGCACGGTCTTGTTGCCAGGCAATAATTAGATTATTACAGCATTTCCCTTTATCACATTTTAATCTAAACCTGCTGGTACAACTATCACAGGTAACCTGATGCTATGACTATTATAGGGGAAGGTTGTAGAAAAATTTTTTTTTTTTTAAGATTTTTATTGGGGAATTGGGGGATGGGAACAGTGCTGGGGAATTGGGGGAAGGGGAACAGACAAGTTGCTGTCCTTT